GGCCGCGGGCGGGCGGCGCGGACAGCCGGGCCTGCGCGCTGCGAATAGCTCCGGTCTTCCGCCACGCTGCTGTCCGTACGCTGGGGAGCCGCTAGCTAAAGCGCCCTTACGAAACCAGGAACGGGGGGCGCAGGGGTGCGTTATACGCAGGCCTCACCGAACAGAACTACAGTAACGGCGTTTTAAAATAGATACACGTTATTAGATATCAATTATTTAGGATCCCCTTTTACAAGTAACATTTTTTAAAATGCTCAGCCTGCCTTGCAGAAGTCAGATGTTGGGACGAAGGCCCTTACCAGGCCCAAAGCTGCTTCTCGGGGGCGGGCAGGGCCCCACCAGGCCCGGCCTCCAGCGCGGCCTGCGAAGCCGGGGAAGCCGCGGCGCTGGCAGGTATCCCGCCGTCAGTTTGCGTGCTTCTCCACGCCATCGCTCCACGAAAGCTTAGCCTAGCTTCCCTCTTACGTGGACAGTACAATCGGTACTCGGTGAACGCTGCAGAGAAGTTTCTTCAAAAATCTTCTTTTATATTGACAGAATCTCCCTAACACAAAGTCACTGCATCCCTTGTGTCGGCTGAGTCCGACACAAAGCAGGTGCTTCCCCCTCCCCCATCTGTGTTGTCACGTAACTTAAACTGCACCGGACCTTTCAGACAACTCGGCGTACAAGGTCTTTTGTCTCCTACATCGCATGCGTCATGTCACGCTTACAAAGCTTGCCAAGAGACACAGAGGTGTTGGGTCTCCGCTTAGCTTTATTAAAGCACTCTTATATAAACTTCTACTACTTGCCAAGAGCAGCCCACAGGCTTTTCGAAGTGTTTCATTTAACTATTGCTGTTCAGCGTGGAGGTGCTACTCTCCGTAAGAAAGGTTTACCTGTCAGAGTACTTGTTCTTTTTAAGCCTGACAAGCAACTCAAAGACAATTCCAAGTCGGATTTTTTCTTTTTACTTGTTTTGTTTTCCGAGTTGTTCAAAAGAGAAATATATGCTAGAATACAACAGCCACTGTATGTAGAGTGCAGCAACCTAATCCTGTTTCTCCTGGCACCGGTTAGCATGTTGTAGGTCCGGCTCCAGTTCAGGATAACCTGAGGAAATAGATGTATGCATTAAAAAAAAAATCTAACCCTGCAAGATAACATTTAAATCTGGTTGTTCATAGCCACGTTAGTATCTTTGCAACAAGTGCAAAGTCTTACTATCAGAGATGTGCAGCACGCTGCTGAGCTTCTGTTCACAGGTCCGTAGGTAGAGAATATTTCAAGTAAAATAATTTCAAGTATAAAACAACAGTATTTCTTTTCTGAAAATCATATGCAAGTCAAACCGCATTTCTAGATGTTAGTATTTTCCCTTGTTAATTAGCTTTCACGGCAAATACTGGTATAAAAATAGCTTCTTGAAAAAGGTACAGAAGTATTTGAAATGTATCCCATAGTCTTCTCGTTTTTGTTTTACATACTTACAAAGAGGTTTTGTACCTTGAGCCTGTACAAATGGCAACAGCACTCAGGCTCTTATAAAGGTTTCTGGCATCTCTTTCAAATTTTAATTTGAAATATGAGCAGTCTACAGAATAACCCCAGGTGGAATGGGAACGTTTCCCCCTTATCATCAGATACGTTTACTAAAGAAAAGGAAATATTTGGCCCTACTACAAAGGAAAGGTGAATGAACTCCTGTGATTTACTGAAGCTGTCAACGACGAAACACTTCACACTGCCAAGGTAAGTCAAGGTGAAACTGGTAGTAGGCCAGTAAATGATCAAAGGTCCACTGAATTACACTGGCAGTTCGTGAGGCAAAAACATGCAGAATTCTTTAGAACGCCCCTGAAGTTTATTCCAACACAGTTTCCCTC